GATTTGAAACACGTATTTTTCACTAGTGCCATGAATATCGATGGTGTTATTTTTATCATAAACATTGTAATTTTTATAATGTTTTTTAACATTAGTAACAGCAAAATAAGATACCGTAAAATATTTTGTAAATCAAAGAAAAGGGTGAACGGGCGAGACAGGCGGTATTCGTAACTGGCTCATTGGTGATTTAGTACAAGTGTAGCCATCTATGTGTGAAAACAATCTAACAAGTAATCTCACAGTGGCCATGGCATGGCATGCCCGGCGGGATTGGGTTAAGCTTCATAAAATATGGAATTTTTGGGGTCGCTTCCCTCCGTCAAATGAAGTCTCTATGACCGATAAGACATACCTATTTCCTCGGACATTCCTGAGATGATTTGCTCGCGAAGAGGCTTGCGAATAATTTTCATGTCACCATTCATTAATGCGTCATTTTGTCGCATATCATTAAATGTTAAATTCAATTTTGAATTATGTCTATAAATAGTTAGTCGCATTATTGTTAGAATGAACTTTATTCAGCGTGTTGGCAAAACTATTGCTATAGGAGGTCACTCTTACTTTCATTGACACCTGTCAATCACTATACTTTTCTTTCGGGTTCGACAAATGGTTCCAGTAATTCATTGTAGAATGCCAATTGTCGTTTCCTTTGCTTATCATCATTATCTCACGAGACGATGGTAGCTCAAGAGGATCCTTGCAGATCGTTATCACCGTCTCCCTCTCCTATTTTCTTCTTTTAACTTACTTTAACTTTGTGAACACAAAACACAAAATGAAAAAAAAGAGACAAAAATTACGAAAATTCAACTTCAAAACTGCAAATTATGAAACAAAAAATCGGCTTGTAGCATTTAACACCTTCTCTTCTCTGTCGTTTTCTTTCTCTCACTATCTGGCCCATTATGTGTTATTCTGGTTCCCGATATGTGAAACGGCACTGGAGGCCCTGCTGCAGAAACGGTCACCTTCGGAAGCCATTAGAAAACGTTACCAGAGATCGCCGCTCGACAGGACACCCGAGATCCAGCGAAAGCAGGAGCTCGCCAGTAGGGGATCGCCGTCCTATGATGCTGTGGACGGGCCTGCCTGGATGCCGCAGACCCAGTCAAACTCCAGAAGCTCATTAGTGCAGGTATCAGCCACCCTACGATGTCGAAGAGGACGCTTCCTGCCGGACGCCCGTAGATCCTGACGAAGATTATGAGGACGTCTGTACGAGCGCGCAGCCGAGAAGGACCTGGATGGAGATCTGCGAGATGTGCATTGGGCAAATAAGGCGCCGAGTTTGACCTGTATGCGGACTACGAGGATGTCTGGTCGAGGACCTGCGCAATGATGACGACACAGAACGAGCAGCCATGGAGATGCACCAAGGATACCACACCCGAGATCGAGGACAAGCAAGTTGGGACCAGCAAGGTTGGGTCACCCTTGAGGAAGTCTAGATCGCCTCGAGGACGAGCCGTGAGTAGGTGGCCGAGCAATATACAATATACTGTATGCATACCACGTGGCCGTTTCGTTACCATGCCGCCATACTCCCGCTGGTGGCTCTGCCCCTGCTTCCGGTGGTCGCCGCTACTTATTCTCCAAGGTTGACCCCAGTCAGTGAGAGTGTGCCGCGGGTCGGTCGAGGTCACACCTGCCTGCTGGGCTGAGCTCGCTGATGACCTCAGGTGAGCAGCCCATAACCTAAGACTCGTCATTTTTGTGTTATCAATCCGTGTGCTGAACTCTTATCAATAAAGGGTTTTAAGCCATCCAAGCTTTTACTACTCCCTGTCACCAATGTTTAGAGGTCCTTCTATAACTCATTACAGTGTATGTGTGTATGTGTGTGCGTACGTGTGCGTGTGTGTGTGTATGTGCGTACGTGTGCGTGCGTGACTACATACATATATATTAAATATATATACACATACATCAATTTTATATACATATACATATGTATGCATATATATATAACTATATAGATAAAAACAAATTATTCATACATATATATATATGTATAAATATATATGTGCATATATATATAAATACATATATACATACATACACACACACACACATATGTGTGTGTGTGTGTATATATATATATATACATATTGTTATCTAACACCACTCATCTACCGGAAAGGAAAACTGAACACGTTGTCCGCTCTCGGGGGAATATATATATATATATATACATATATACACATACACACACACACACACACACACACACATATATATATATATATATATATATATATATATATATATATATATATATGTATATATATGTATATATATGTATATATATGTATATATATGTATATATATGTATATATATATATATATATATATATATATATATATATATATATATATATATATATATATATGTATATATATGTATATATATATATATATATATATATATATATATATATATATGTGTATATATATGTATATATATAAATATATATATAAATATATATATATATATATATATATATATATATATATATATATATAATACATAAAACTGGTATGTAACAACAAAACATACGTTTGGACTAAGATAAGAGGGTTTTATAAAACAAGATTTACAAAAATAAAATTTTCAACAGTTAATGAAAGTAATAACATATCGCAAGCCAATATGATTCAGTCCCCCTTTTTATAACGAAAGAAAACTTACTATTTACATTCCCTCGCGGAGACCGAAGACAACAAAAATTCCAAAGTTAAACCATCTCTGACGAAGAAAATATATCAGATAGTAAGGAGTATACGAGTCTGAACCATCAGTACAACCCATACGCTAAACACTTCAAGTTTTAACGATTGTGTTCACCTTACCTTATCGCTTGTACATCCTTATGCAGTCAGTACTGTCAAATTTCATCTCTTGTAGCTATGCGAACTATAGGATAGATAACCCATATCTATAGGCACGATAGGGTCGGTGATTCATTCATAAGGCTATCACATTTTCTGCCCAGGGTTACCCCTACACTGACTGACGTTGTCGTTGTTTGTGTGCCTAACCTTCAGAGGTCTCACACACACCACGAAATTCGATGGAGTGACACACATTGCGTAGCACAGGGGTTGCTAAATACGTCTATCTGGTTGTGGTTTACGTTCCAAAGAATGTGCGATAAATGTTCTCCATTTAGAGGTATACTGTCTTTGATTATGCCTCTTCACGGCTCATCCCGCTGAACCACTCTTGATAATCTTATCACATGAAGTCATGCAGTAAAAATAACAGTGGATGAGTTGCCATGTATCCGTTAGTCACCGCCACACTCTTGTATTATTCTTACAGTGTATCGGACGATGGAGGAATGTTTGAATACTGGGGAAATGGCGAAATATATATATATATATATATATATATATATATATATATATATATATATGTATGTATATATATATACATACACACACACACACACACACACACACACACACACACACACACACACACACACACACACACACACACACACACACACACACAGAGAGAGAGAGAGAGAGAGAATGACTGAGTTAGAGATTGATTATTTATAATCTGCCACACCAACAGCAAAGATTAGCGGCAGTGAATTAGAGAGAAAGAGGGGAAGGGAAGGGGAATGTTATCTCTAACACCACTCATCTACCTGAAAGAGAAACTGAACATGTTGTCAGCTCTCGGAGGAATAAAAATTAACTTTCAACCGTTTTTAATATATATCTGGTTCGGCCTCTTATTACCTTGGTCGACCTCTGTTTTTTTCGCTCAGCGAACGACAAGCCTCTACAACACAAATTAAATGTTGGCTACAGAGTACTCATGACACGCAGGTCACGCCATGTATCAAATGTAGAAGGAGAGGGGAAATAAATACATGAATGATAAACAACGGAAGCTCGGCTGGAATATTAACAGCCACCAAAATATGGGTATTGCAAAAGTATTACATCTAGATTGTCCTCTGCTAATAAGTACTTGCAGACGTCAAAAACAGAGTCTCTCTTTGATATGAGATCAGCAACTTTTGGACACTCGAGGCAGTAATGCTGTAGGTGGTTCGCATTGTGTGCGTCACACAACTTACACGATGTGTACTGCGGCACGTCCTCTGTCTCATCCACTTGCCACACTGGTCTGTAGCCTAAGCGGAGCCGGGCAGCGACCACATTGTGTCTTCTTACCAACAGACCGCGGCGTCAGTATTTGTAGGGGTGAGAGGCAAAGTAGTCGTAGTGCTGGATGCTTATGCTCGCTGGCCGCCCGGCGCTCCTGCGTCGGGTGATTGACAAGCGAGCAAAAGCACGTATCCTCTGCTTGTAGTGAGAGAGGGTTGCTGGCGAGGCGTCAGCCGCAGGTAGGGCTAGCCTACAGGCAGCTTTGGCAAGATGATCTACATCTTCATTCGCTGTTACCCCAACATGCGAGGGAATCCATAGGAAATGTATGACAAGTGCATGTCCAATGGCTTTGACTAGGTGGCGCATTATGTGATTGACTAGGCTACGGGCTTCAGGCTTTGGGGAGGAGAGGGCACGAAGGTCAGACTGTGAGTCACAAATAACTAGTCCATTGCTTCTAGTCCGTAGAAGTAGGCTAACAGCATCTAGAAGCTCATGCAGTTCACAGGAGGTAGAGCTTGACCAGTCCTGCAGACGACATCCAGTCCATCCCCCATATGGTGGTTCCATAGTAGGAGAGAAGACAGCACAGCCTGCAGTTCCATCCATTTGCAAAGAACCGTCAACGTAGAGGGTGTGAGAGGCAGGGATGGAAGACCTTACTTTGTTAATGGCCTCTAGGGCTAGTTGTTTCTGTTGGCAGGGTAGGTCCCTCCTACAGGTGGGTGTGTAGGAAACTGCTACAGGAGGAATCTGCCACGGGGGAGGACCATGGTCTACTTCCTCTTGGGGGACATTAATATCCAATCTTCTAAGGTCTCAGCAAACATTCCTAATAAGAGCACAGGGGGACGTGCATTGGGGTCAAATGACACATTAATAAGGTTAGCATAATGTGGAGCGAGACTGGATGAGTGGAGACATTTAACAGTAAAGAATGTTACATTGGCATATATTCGTTCCACAAAAGGAAGGAGATGAAGCTAGTGGTTCTAGTGCTGTCTTGGAGAGTTGACTAAGAGTTGGAGATAGTTAATCAACTACTGAACGGATAAAATCTGTATAGATATTTCTGGCCACAGGAATGGAGACCCCAGCAGCATTGTTGGTTAGCCACCGAAGGGGTTCAAGGCGACGTTGTAGCCGTGTCAGTAATTCTTGAACAATGGGATGGACACGTTGACGTACTGGCGTGGTGGGAAGGACTCGAACTGGAGCACCCAAATAAAGATACTGTGTACAGAATGGTATAATGCTGGGGCCTACTAGAAATTCAGGTAGTGTTCGTGGGTTTTGTAGAGAGAAGATCCTACTTTTTTCAGGAGAGATGATGAGGCCACATGAAGAGGTAGATTCGTAAAATGAATGAAGTAAGCACTGTAGATCTTCTGGTGAGTTGGAGTGAATGCAGATGTCGTCAGCATAGCATGTAATTGTTGTTCCTGGGATATCAGGGAGCTGGGATATGAGGCGGTGCATAAGGATATTGAAAAGAAATGGGCTGAGGACACCTCCCTGTGGAGTCCCAAGGCCAAAGCACTTAGGTTTGCTGCAGGCACCTTTAAAGAGGACATAGGATGATCTGTTGCTTAAGTATCCTCGTATCCATCGCAAGAGATTTCCACTAACACCAAAGTCCACAAGCTGGTCGAGGATCACATCAGGATTTGCAATGTCAAAGGCACTTTTCAGGTCAATGAATGCGACAAGACTTGTAGAGGAGAGGCGAGTGTATAGTTCCAATAGACAATGGTGTGTGCTGCGTTGTGGCAGGAATCCATGGATGATAGTTTGTCTTGAAGGCGGTACATAAGGCGTTTCAGGAGGATACGCTCCAGCACTTTACAGAAGCATGATGTAAGGGATAGTGGTCTAAACTTGTCAGTGCCAGGCTTAGGAACAGGTACAATGAGGCTTTTCGTCCAATCTTGCGGAACATATCCATGTCGGAGGCAAAGGTTGTAAAGCTGTAGAAGGGGATCACCAGTGACCTACAGGAGAAGGCGCAAGACGGAGTATGTGATGCCATCATCACCTGGGGCTGATGCTCTACCGCAAGCAAGAGCACGACGAAGTTCATCCTTTGTTATTGGTATATCTTCTTCCTCATCTTTCCTTAGTAGGGCTGCTGACAGGCATAGAGCACGGCGGGTTTTCTGAGAGGAGAGCAGCTCTTGTACATGTGAAGGAAGGCTATGAACACTGGATTGCTGTGACCAGGTATCAACAAGATCTTGTGCATACTGAACTGGACTGTGATGGAGTGCACTTGGGGTCTTTTTCTTTAACACCCTCTTGATGAGTCGCCACATGGACCGTATGCTTGTCTGATGATTGATGGTATTGGTGAAATCATGCCAGGCATCACAATAAACACACTGTTGTAGGGCAACAAGAGCACCACTGGATGCCTGGTACTGTTGTAAGCTCTCTAAAGTTGGATCCCTCTGATAGACATGGCTATCCTCTATCGCCTTTCTCTCTGCTGCCTTGATGCGTCTATCAAGTGTCCACTCATGAGCTTCAGGCTGGTACTTAATGTTTGGTCTGCGAACATAATGGCTATAAAAATCATGTGTTAAAGAAACAAGAGACGAGTATAACTTCTCTGGAGAAATGACATCAAGCTTTAAGATGAGAGCAGACATGTAGGAGATATAGTTAGGACAGTACTTTGGGGGAATCGAGTATTGAAGGCTGAGGGCAAGGTGATCAGAGAAAAGAGCAGGGACAGATGAGCACCTGAGCTGAGATGCAACAAGTCCATAGGTGAGTATGTGGTCAAGGGTGCCTCCTCGAGAATGTGTGGCACCTCCTGTATCCCAGCGAGTTAAGTGATTGTGCTGCATGAACTTCATAAGTCGTGTGCTGCTATTGTTGACAGTGTTGGAACATCCACCTAAAGCAGGGTGCCGAGCATTAAAATCACCCATATAGACGGTGCTGTGGTTCATGGGAGAGGGCAGAGCATCAGTATTTATCCTTCCTGGAGCAGAGTAGACATTGCACAAACGAATCTTTCCTTCTCCCAGCTTAACCTCCAGGAGTTGAAAAGTGGTACAGTCATCATCAGAAGAACGGAGTAGTCGGTGCTGAACAGAAGAGTGGATGTAAGTGATGAGCCCATTCCTAACATGATGAACATAAGAAATATAACCACTGAGGGAGGGTGCTACAGTTCCTAGAGCATGTCCAACAAAAGCCTCTTGTATGAAGATGACATTTGGGTGGTGACAGTAAACATATGCCTTAAGTGAGGTAATTTTGGCTGGAGATGTTATGCCGCAAGCATTCCAAGAGAGGATATGAAGGTCTATACTACTAGTGAACATTACTCTTATATTTGCGTGAGCCAGATGAGGTGGAAGGCTTCGGTATATTATTGCTTTGATGCGAACCACAAGAGACAGATCCCACTGTGGGAGTGGTGATTGTTTCGAAACGAGTAGCTAGTGAATCAAACTTCTCAGTAAATGATGTAACGAAACTGATGACAACCTGTTGGGCTTCAATGAGAGACTTGAGTATTATGTCATTAGTAGCCAGTTTGGTGGAGAGATCAGCAAGTGAGGTTGCCAGAGAGTCAAAGCGAGACTCGATGGCATCAAAACGAGCCTCGATGGCATTGAGGCGTGATGCAAGGGAGGCACATTGTGACTTAAGGGAGTCAACAGCTTTTTGAAGTGCAGACACCTGTGGAGCTGGACTGGAGACTAGTGCAGGGTGGAGCAGGAATGGCAAGTGGTACACGTGTAGGTATATGTGAGGCTGTAGTGGGAAGAGTGCGGGGTTTGGTCAAGCGTTTCATATACCCGTGCCAAACATTCACTCCAGGCTGGTGACATCGAGGACATTTCCATTTCTCATCATTAGTGGATGTTGGGTCTTGACATCTCGAAGTTGATACAGCATCAGAGGGTGGGATACGATGTCCACTCCAGGGTTATCTCGAAATACAAGTTTGGTATACTCTGCCCGCGGAGCAAATGCTGGAAGAGCGGTAGGCCTATGTGACGTGTTGTAACGCGGCAGAGGACGGGGGACGGGGGCCACATTGTGAGTATTACAAGGCGGCGGAGAACCCCTGCGTCTGGTTGTTTTGGCAGCGGGATTCAAGGGCTCACTATCAGATTCCGAGGTGGAGTCCATTGGCCGCTTGCTGGAAGTGTGGGGTCGGGGCGCGGCGATCGGACTCGTGTCTGGCTCCCCAGCCTGAGATGGTAACGACGGCCAGTCTTCCTGGCGCATATCATCCTCTTCGCTCAATGCTGGATCAGCATCCATGTCAGCGAGGGAAGCAGGTCCTGTATAATCCATGATATTTGCCTTTACCAGGGCACAGGTTGTAAAAGGGGCATCGATATAAATTCAGAGGTAGTCAGTTGAATTTAATGTCATTGTCATCTTCCGCAGTTCACAAACATCGCTCATTTACTATACATATACGACCACGGTGCCGTCAACTACACTTGACTAATGTGAAACATTCTCCCAAATCTCAAAAAACTACTTTTTAAATCTAATGAGGCCTATGAAATCAAGATTGCTCAATATTTTTTTAAGACTCTACAGGATATATGAAAATAAACAAACAAAAAAATACAAGTTATTTACTCGACTGTTGTAAATACAATTTTTTTTTTTTTTTACCATAAGTTGTAGACTTCTTTGAGGGATCAATTCTTGGGGTCCCCTTTTAGCCCTATGGGTGACGAAAGAGAAAGAGATGTATGACATGAAAACATATCGCATGTGAGAGAAACACGAAAATCAAGTAAGAAATTCACCTTTCTTACTCATTATTTCGTATTTCTATCAGTTTATTGTCAATGAAATCATCTTACATCATACTCAACACCAACACGTCGGTGCTCTCTTAGAAATCAAACCAGAGACGATACTGGTAAATTATTTCGAATAGGTCCCCCATCTCCATTAAACCCCATCCCCAGTTGATATTAACTATCCCCTGATGATATCTTTTCTACCTAACCCAATCATCGGCGGAGTCATTGAAGAGGATCAATATGAACTTTCAGACACTTTCGATCGTTGCACCATGACTAGCGGCTGTTTGGCGAGGGAGGATGACTTCCCTGACGTCACAGGAGGCGCATTCACTCACTCGAACCTGTCGGTCACTTGTGGGCATTTTCACGGGGAGTGTTTTCATTTCCCTCTTGATTTTCCCTTTACCTTCATAAACTATTTTTTAAAGGAAAATTTGTGGATGACACAACATAAATGTTGTTGGGTTTATTGTTTAATATAAAAAGTATATTCATATTTAGATATATGTGTATGTATGTGCGCTCGCGTGCGCGCGCGCGCACACACACACACACTTCTTCTTCTTCTTGGCGTCATCCCTATTCGGGGTCGCCGCAGCGCGTCACCTCCCTCCACTCCCTCCGGTTCTCCCAGTCTCCCTCTCCAACTCCCAGCTCCCGCATGTCCTCACTCACGCAGTCTCTCCACCTTCTCCTCGGTCTCCCTCTTCTCCTCTCTCCTGGCACTGCACCCTCCAGCACTCTTTTTCCTACGTAGCTCTCTTCCCTCCTCTTGACATGTCCATACCATCTCAACCTTACACCTCTCAGTTTTTCTCCAATTCTTCGTACTTTCGCCGTCCCTCTGATAAATCTATTCTGGATCTTGTCTTCCCGCGTCACTCCCAGTGCCCATCTCACCATTCTCATCTCTGCTGTCTCCATCTTCTCTGTCTGTTTCCTAGTCACCGCCACCGTCTCCATCCCATACAACATCGCAGGCCTAACAACGGTCTTATACACTTTTCCTTTCAACTTAGCCGACAGTTTCCTGTCACACAAAATCCCTGAGGTCCTCTTCCAGCTCAGCCAGGCTGACTGAATTCTGCTTCTTATCTCCTCGTCGCTGCCCCCATCTGCACTCACTATTGACCCGAGGTATTTGAAGTTCTCTACTTTCTTGACAGCTTCTCCTTGCAGGTAGACTGTTCCCTGTTCTGCTCCTTCTGTTGGTAGGTATTCGGTCTTCTTCCTGCTCACCTTCAAACATGCCCTCTCGAGCGCGTCTCTCCACTGTTCCAGGTCTGTCTGCAGCTCTTCCTTGCTCTCTCTGCACAGCACCACGTCGTCCGCGAACATGTCCCACGGGGCTTCTTTCCTCACTTCTTTCGTCAGTACGTCCATGATGATGGCAAAAAGGAACGGACTGAGCGCTGATCCCTGATGTAGACCCACTTTTACTTAAAAGTCCTCTGTCAGTCCTGCCGCGCTTCTCACTGCTGTTCTCGCTCCCTCGTACATGCCCTGGATGGCTTCCACATAACATTCGGACACCCTCGCCTGGCGCATACATTCCCACAGTTCTTGTCTCGGGACCCTGTCGTATGCCTTCTCCAGATCAACAAACAGGCAGTGCAACTCCTTCTGGCCTTCTCGCCACTTTTCCATCACCTGCCGCAGTGCGAAGATTGCATCTGTGGTACTTCTTCCTGGCATAAACCCGAACTGCTGGTCACCGATCTCAACTTCGCTCCTCAGTCTTGCTTCTACTACTCGCTCCCACAGCTTCATCGTGTGACTCATCAACTTTATTCCTCTGTAGTTTCCACATTCCTTGGAGTCACCCTTGCCTTTGTAGATAGGTATCAGCACACTTTTCCTCCACTCATCCGGCATCTTCTCTCCTTTCAGCAAGTTCGTAAGCCACCCACTACCAACATCTCCCATCGACAGCCAAGCCTCCACTGGTATGTCATCGGGGCCTCTGGCTTTCCCTTTCTTCATCTTCTTCAGCACTGCTTTAACTTCACCTTCAATGACTTCCTCTACTTCCCTCTCGTTCTTCCTCGCATCTTCTTCTCTCTCTGCTCTCGGATTTTCTTGGTTAAGCAGGTCTTCAAAGTACTCCTTCCATCTTTGCTGCACTGCTTGTCCCTCCACCAAGACTTCTCCATTTTCGCTCTTAACCACCTTCACTTGCTGCACGTCCTGGCTTTGTCTGTTTCTCTGCTTGGCTATTCGGTACGCTTCATTCACTCCCTCTTTCGTCTCCAGACGCTCGTACAGATCCTGGAATGCTTCACTCTTTGCTATGGCAACAGCTCTCTTCGCTTCCCTCTTTGTTATCTTGTAATTCTCCTTGCTCCCTTCATCCCTATTAACCTCCCACTGCTTCTTCGCTTCCTTTTTGTTTTCAACCACCACTTTTACCTCTTCATTCCACCACCACGTTTCATGATCTTCTCTTCTGCTCTTCCCAGAACCAGTACCGAATGTTTCTCTTGCGACATCTCTGATTGTGTTGGCCACCTCCTCGTAGCCTCCATCGCCCTCCATTACTTTACTTTCCAGCACCTTGTCTCTGAAAATGTTTTGCATCTCTTGGTCCCGGAGCTTCCACCATTTTGTGCGAGGCTCCCGCTTTTCAGCTCTTCTCCACTTTGCCCACATGACCAGCCTGCTCACAACCATCCTGTGTTGTTTTGCTACACTTTCTCCAACAATGGCCTTAGTGTCCCACACATCTCTCATTCTCTCTGTTCTCACAAGCACGTAGTCCACTTGCGTGCTTCTTCCTCCGCTGCTGTACGTCACTTTCTGCTTGCTCCTCTTCACAAACATGGTGTTGCTCACCATAAGCTCCCACCTTTTGGCAAAGTCCACAACCATCTGGCCTTCTGCGTTTCTTCTTCCGAACCCGTGCTTTCCCATTACCTCTTCGTCATTTGTGTTACCTTCGCCCACATGGGCATTCAGATCAGCTCCAATCACCAACCTTTCGCATCTTGGTATTTTCTCCACTGTTTCATCCATGTCTGCCCAGAAAGCCTCCTTCTCCTCTTCGTCACATCCCACCTGTGGCGCGTATGCACACACGATGTTGATAAGGATTCCGTTCACCTCCAGCTTCATCGTCATCAATCTGTCTGATATCCTCTCCACCTCTACCACATTGTCCACCAGGTCTCCTCTGACCACGACTCCTACCCCATTTCTCTGTCCATCATCCCCTCTATACCACATCTTGCAGCTTCCTCCAATCACCCTGGCCTTCTCTCCTTTCCACCGGGTCTCTTGGACACAGAGCACATCCACTTTTCTTCTTTCCATGACATCTGCTATCTCTCTGCTCTTTCCAGTCATCGTCCCCACGTTCAGCGTTCCTACTTTCAGTTCCACCTTCTTCGCCTTCCTGTTCGCATGCTTCTCTCTTCTACTCCTCCACTGTTCTCCTCCACATCGTCGTCTTCTTCTTTCGTTTTTCCAAGTAGCATGTCCACCAGCACCCCTTGAAACACAAGTACTGGTAACGGCCGTTGTTTCTCCGGGCCTCGACCGATCCGGCATGGAATAGTTTCTGGTTTCGCGCATTGTTGATTTTGGCAAGAAGTTTTACGCCGGATGCCCTTCCTGTCGCAACCCTTTTTAGTCGCCTTTTACGATCACGCAGGGGATACGGTGGGACTTTATTCTAAAGCCGGACCCACACAGCATTTTTTTAAAAGACATCAACGGCGCCTGCGTGGAACTTTTCCACTTGGCTTGGAAGGGATACGATCGCCGGTCTTCCGTTTGGGAGTCAGCGACCATATTCATATATATGTGTGTGTGTGTGTGTGTGTGTGTAATATATACATATATATTATATGTATGTATAAAACATATATAATATATATAATATATTTATGAATAATATATATATATAATTATATATATATATATATATATATATATATATATATATATATATATATATATATATATATATATATATATATATGTAATTATAACAACATCAAAGCAGAGTAAAATTATTACCACTCACCGAAAATTATGATTTCCAAGCCCTCCTACTGGTTCCCCATTTTCGTGTGTCTTATCCTTACTAAATGGCCAGCGACCCTTATGTTCGCTGCCTCAGGCTTCTACAATGAAACGTAATATTCGACAAAATGAGTCTTAAACTCATTCAGAAAGAGCGAGTCTTATGCCATCTGTTCCACACGTCTTCCTTCTTCTAACTTCGTCTTCATCGCAGTTTAAGTGATATATTTTTTTTGACATGATATTAATTGTGACTAAAATAATATTATATGGATGTATAATTATTTTAGTGTCGTAGTCTATCTTTGTTCGGTGAATTACAGTTACAAATATTGAGACATATAAATAGTAAATATGTAATGATTTCGGTTGTATTCCATAAAACTTTTAAAGAATATGAAATAATAATTACTAACTTTATTTCATGAAAATACTTTATTTATTGCGCATTAAACTTTGTTGGTGTAATCAAACACAAATTGGTTTGTTTAAATTAGTATGCGCTCTGCCTCCCTTCCGTGGCCTTGAACAGGTCTAGAAAATGAGATCTTACGATTCGAAGGGATGACTCATTTTCGCAAGCTCGCTATTAAAGCTTTGTCTTTTCGTAAATAAACCGATATATAACATAAATATATAATATATATATAAATATAATGTATATATATATATATATATATATATATATATATATATATATATATATATGTAGATAAATAATGTATATATAATATATATTATGTATAACATATATAATATATATATTGTACATATGATATATATAATATGTAAATTATATACCTATATATAATATATGCCTATATATATATGTAATTATAACAACATCAAAGCAGAGTAAAATTATTACCACTCACCGAAAATTATGATTTCCAAGCCCTCCTACTGGTTCCCCATTTTCGTGTGTCTTATCCTTACTAAATGGCCAGCGACCCTTATGTTCGCTGCCTCAGGCTTCTACAATGAAACGTAATATTCGACAAAATGAGTCTTAAACTCATTCAGAAAGAGCGAGTCTTATGCCATCTGTTCCACACGTCTTCCTTCTTCTAACTTCGTCTTCATCGCAGTTTAAGTGATATATTTTTTTTGACATGATATTAATTGTGACTAAAATAATATTATATGGATGTATAATTATTTTAGTGTCGTAGTCTATCTTTGTTCGGTGAATTACAGTTACAAATATTGAGACATATAAATAGTAAATATGTAATGATTTCGGTTGTATTCCATAAAACTTTTAAAGAATATGAAATAATAATTACTAACTTTATTTCATGAAAATACTTTATTTATTGCGCATTAAACTTTGTTGGTGTAATCAAACACAAATTGGTTTGTTTAAATTAGTATGCGCTCTGCCTCCCTTCCGTGGCCTTGAACAGGTCTAGAAAATGAGATCTTACGATTCGAAGGGATGACTCATTTTCGCAAGCTCGCTATTAAAGCTTTGTCTTTTCGTAAATAAACCGATATATAACATAAATATATAATATATATATAAATATAATGTATATATATATATATATATATATATATATATATATATATATATATATATATGTAGATAAATAATGTATATATAATATATATTATGTATAACATATATAATATATATATTGTACATATGATATATATAATATGTAAATTATATACCTATATATAATATATGCCCATCTATAATATAAATATATATATTGTATATATGATATATATTACATATATATATATATATATAATATATATATGTATATATATAATGTATATAATACATAAATATATATATATATATATATATATATATATATATATATATATATATATATATATATATTGCATATATAATATATATTATGTATAACATATATAATGTATATATTGTACACATGATATATATAACAGAATAAAATATATACCTATATATAATATATGCCTATTCATAATATATACCTATATATAGTACATACCTATATATAGCATATACATATGTAAATATATACATATGATATGATATATAATATATGTATAATATAAGAGTATAACAAATATATGTATAATGTATATATAATGAAAATACAATATATAATATATGTAATATATGTATAATATATATACTATGATATATGTATAATATATATATAATATATATAATGGATATAATGAATACAATACATATAATATATATAATGTATAATATATATATATATATATATATATATATATATATATATATATATATATTGATATGTATAACAGATATAATACATATATATGCATAATGTATATGATGTATATATCATATATATATATATATATATATATATATACACATATATATTTTTTATAGATATATATATATATATATATATATATCTGTGTATTATATAAAAAATATATATGTGTATATATATATATATATTTATATATATATATATATATATATATATATATATATATATATATATAATATATATATATATGTGTGTGTGTGTGTGTGTGTGTATGTGTGTGTGTATGTGTGTGTGTGTGTGTGTGTGTGTGTACATGTGTACATATATATGTGTATATATGCATGTATATATATTTGTGTGTATATTTGTATATATCATCATCACCAAGAGGCTAATGCCAATGCATCCACCCTTCGCTTCCAGCCTCGAGGGTTTCCAGGCCAAGGCCCTCGGCCCATCTCTAACTCCTCGCGATAGGTCTGGTCGAGCTGCCCGAGCTATGACCTCCTAGGTCATAGCTTGAGCCTCCTCCACCCATGATTGTTTCGCAGAGAGACAACCTGATGGACAGGGTCATCCACAGGATCACGAGCTAGATGCCCATATAGCCTAAGTTGGCGATCCCAGATTATGCAAGTAACAGGTCCCATGCCAGTCTCACAATGTAGCCATTGGTTGGACACATGGTGCCAACTGTACCCCATGATCCAGGGAAGAGACTTATTACAAAAGGCATCAAGACACGACTCCAAGGCATCCAGGTTTCGTTTCCACAGACCAAAACCGGCAGTGACTTCAACGTCCTCACCGCAAACATGGATCGACTGAACGGTTTCCCCTAACAGGTCCCCAAAGTCCTGAAACTTGGTCTTGGTCCAGGAGAACTCTAGGCCCAAGGGCTTCGCCTCACTGCTAAATTCATCAAGAGCCAGTGATTCTAGAGACTCAACATCATCGGCAAAATCAAGGTCAGAGACCTTGATATCGCCCAGTGTATCTCTACACTGACTTTGTATATTAGCTCTGCCAATTATCCAGTCCATGCAGGTATTGAAAAATGTTGCTTCAAGAACACGGCCTTGCCTCACCCCTGAATTAACAGGAAAGAAGTTCGACAGGCCCCATCACACTTTCCAGCAATTTCAATACCGGTATATAGGCTTGCTATTAGGCCAATAATCCGTGTCGGAATTCCCCTAAGTCTCAAAATCTCCCATAGTGATTCTCAATGCACCAAGTCAAACGCCATCTTGAGGTCGATGTAGGCTGCAAGCAATCCATGACCGAACTCACGACGGCGTTCCACAATTACTCGAAGCACTAGGATACAGTCTATTGTGGACTTACCAGGAGTGAATGCAGACTGTACAGTCTCTGGTGCCTTAGTAGGTGGTCTCAGAAGATGTGGGCGAAAACCTTGCCTTCGAGTTGGTTTCGAGTTCTCTGAATCGATCAGAGACTGCTGTGGTGAACCCACGGGCACACTCCTCTTCCCTCAGTCTGTCCAAGGGAAACACCCTAGAGTGGCCACTGGAGGGACGAGGAGTTTTGAAGTAGACCTGTAGGGTAGCCACTACTAGCCTATGGTCAGTGCCACAGAACTCGGCTCTCCGGTAAACCCTGTCATTCTGAAGGATCCTCCATCGAGTGCTGACAAGTATGTGGTTGATCTCCTTGGCCACAGTACCCGTATCATATATATGTATATATATACATATAGACTTATATATATGCACATACATATAGTATATATATATGTGTTTATATATATATATATATATATATATATATATATATATATATATATATATATATATATATATATATATATATATATATATATATATATATATATATATATATATATATATATATATACACACACACACACGCACACACATATATATATACTTACATAAACATTACATTACATGCATATATATATATGTGTGTGTGCGTGTGTGTGTGTGTCGATGGGTAGGCTAAACTCTCATTCTTATCCTATTATTGAAATAAACACCAGTTATGACCACTTTGCTTGGACATGTCACACACTTTCATCGTAAAGAAAGAATCACCTTCGTCAATACACAAAACGAATAGCAAGATTTTTTTTTTCTTAAAGGACTTTTTTTCTTATTCTATTTTCCAAACATACACTAATGGCATTATTTAGAGATGTCAATGAACCGTGGCTGGTGATTCCTTATAATGTATAATAAATTTCATGGGACTGCATAATCACCAGCCACACACCATCGCATTAAACAAACCAATTATAAAATTTATGATCCC